GAGGGTGCTAACAACTGCTTGTTAACTCGAGGGAGATCTGACCCTTGGAAATTTAAAGCTTATTTTCAATTTCTATTGGTGCTAGGGATTGAAACCAGGGCCTTGCACATGCTAAGTAAGCAATACCACTGAGAAACCTATGCCCCTATCCCCAAGAGTCTTATTCAATAAATTGTTCCCCTGAATTCCTAGTTTGCTTTCTGTTGCTGTAAATAACACCATGATGAAAAAACAACTTGAAAAAGTATTTATTGCTATTTAAAGGTTACAGTTGGTGCATCATCTAGGGAAAGCCAGGGCAGGGGTTCAAGGCCAAGAGCTTGAAGCAGAGGCCATACAAAAACACTGCTTACTGGCTTATTCAGCCTACTTTATGTTACCCAGGGGTACAATGGATACAATAGGTGGGGCCCTGCAAGAGCACTCATTAATCAAGAAAACGCCCTGAATGTGCCCACAGGCGATCTGATTGATAGAATTCCTCAACTGAGTTTCCCTCTTCCCAGGTGACTTTAGTTTGTGCCACTGGATAATAAAACAAATTTTATGTATTACCATTATCAGGAAGATGTTTTGTAAAATCAACAAGACCGTCTGTTATCTTGTTAGCTATGCTCAGTGCTTCATGCATCTCTCACCTTCTATATACTTTTTCTGATAGATTTTCTGACTGTTTTTTTCTGCAAGCTTTTTTTTCTTAAACTTGTTTACACTGAGTTGAAAGCAGTTATTTTGTTCCAATTTATTTTTGTTTGGATTTAACCGAGTATTTTATTTGAATGTATGCATATGCAAAAACATATGGTACCTACAGATGCCCCAAGAGGGTGTTGAATCCTCTGGAACTGAGTGTATGAAGGTTGTAAACCACTGAGTACTGGGACCAATAGCAACAAGCACTCTTTACCCTCTCCAGCCGGTTCTCAACGTTTTAAGTATCCACTGTCCTCAGCTTTTACTCTCTCATTGTCAGTTTAGAGGCTTTTGAACCTGGGATGTTTTCAGACGCTGTTGGGTTTTAATAACTGAAATTTTTGTTGTGCTTGAAAGTTGCAGGATTTCTTCAATCTTTGCACCAGAAAGTCTCACCAACTCTCCCTCCCAAGCAGCCAGAAATCTCAGGTACTCTGCAGCTCTCTCCTGCTTTTCTGATTTCCTTAGATGTCACTAGGTTATCTAGACCGCCATTGTGGTTTGTTTCCTAGGCTTTCCTTCCCTTTGTCGTCTCTACCTTGATTCATCTAACTTTTCTATTAAACCCAATCATTCCATTTTGGTATACATTATTATTATTTTGGAGTTTTGTTTTGTTGCCTGTTCATTTGGGTGAGAGTGACATCAAACATCTAATCCTCATGCTTTACCTCCTGATGTAAGTTATATGCCACTGTATCTGATTTGGTTTCTATTTCACTGTCAATTGCTTCTTGAACTTAACCCAATTTCTCATCTTTCAATGTTGAACAATATTTTTAAATGTCTTACACTGGTGTCAGAATGATTTTTCTAAAGAACAAAGTAGGATTTGTCACATTCCTCTAGAATACAAATAGCTTGAGGCAACCATGTTAGACCCTGGGTTCCCCCATTTATACTACTATTGCAAACATAGCTACAGCTTTTGCCTTTTCTTTAGTCTATGTAGCAATCTAAGCAATAGTGGAGAGGCTACTAAATGCCCTTCCCTGATAATGAGATTGATGACTACCTTATATGCCATCCTAGAGCCTTCATCCAGTAAATGATGGAAGCAGAGGCAGACACCCACAGCTAAACACTGAGCCGAACTCCTGGAATCCAGTTGCAGTGGAAGAGGAGTGATAAGCAAAGGGGTCAAGAGCATGCTGGAGAAACCCACAGAAACAGCTGGCCTGAACAAGGGGGAGCTCATGGACCCCGGACTGATAGCTGGGAAACCAGCATAGGACTGACCCAGACCCCGCTGATCCTGGGTGTCAGTTAGGAGGCCTGGGCAATCTATAGGGCCTCTGAAAGTGGATCAGTATTTATCCCTAGTATAGGAATGGACTTTGGGAGCCCATTCCATATAGAGGGATACTCTCTCAGCCTAGGCACACAGGGGAGGGTCTAGGCCCTGCTCCAAATGATGACAGACTTTGAAAATCCCCCAAGGGATCCCCTCACCCTCCCTGGGAAGCAGTGGAGGAGGGGAGAGGGAACTGGGATTGACATGTAAAACAAGCTTGTTTCTAAATTTAGGGGAGGGGGGTGTCTATGTATCTCTGGCTGGCCTGGAACTTATTGTTGCTATGTAGTATGTAGATGAGCTTGGCCTCAAAGGTATTTACCTGTCCCCGCTAGGATTAAAGCCATGAGCTGCTACACAAAGTTTTAAAACTTTCTAAAGTATGGCCAGCATCAGCCCCAATAAACATGGGTGTGCCACAGTGTGGTTGTTGATGCTGGTGGAGTGACTTTATATTGGTCTTAAGTCCATTTTGTTTCTTCTTCACTTTCAATTATTTTCCTCCTTTAAATATCTTTTCTTTCAACTCAAAACAGTGAGACAAATCTTTATTGGTCAGAGAGGCTGACACCTCCAAATCCTGGGCTCTAGGTGAAGGTACAGAACACAGTGCAGGGTGGTTCCATTTGTGTGCTGTATCCAAACTGCAATCTAAGTCAAACTGCCCGTCTTTTGGACCTTGGGGCTGCTTTCTGGAATATTCCATGGGCACAGATTTGGGGCCCTGGTTTATGGCCCTTGTCTTGGGATAGGGAATTTCCTTTATTTTAAACCTTTTATATAAATAGTAGGAGGTATCATTTTGTCTTGTCCTTTAAATATCTAAGAGACTTTTTATGTGATATCCCATTATCTAGACAGAAAGCAGATGGAATTTTCATTCAGATTTGTCTTCCTTTTCTGCTCATGTATTTACGCCAAAAGTTATACTTCCTCTTAAATCTCTTGGTGTTCTGTAGTGTAATCTTTCACTTTTGCTAATGTATAACCCCTGGGAAGTACAACATTTCATATACTGTGTTGTTCTTCAATGTGCTTTGTTCATTCAACAACATATGAAAGCAAACTCAAGAGGAAAAAAACACCCAAACAAACCAACGATGGCTGAAACAACAGGTGACAAAGGCAGGAAACACGGTATCCAGCTTTCAGAAATTGTATGTTAATATGAGTAGTATTAGAGGCTAAAGAGATGACTTAGTGATTAAGAGCACTGGCTGCTCTTTCAGAAGACCTGGGCTCAATTCCCAGCACGGGACACCTCACAACTGTCTGTAGCTCCAGTTTCAGGGGATCTGACACACTCAACACACACACACACACACACACACACACACACACACACACGAAAGCAAAATACCAATGTAGAATGTACATAAACTTACATGATGTATACACATACATCATAAATGGTGGCCTAGTGGCTCACTTCTGTTAGGTTTGATTAATCAGAAGGCAGAAGTTTGACACCAGCCTAGTCTACACAGCAGATTCCAGGCCAATCGGGATGGAAGTGGGGAGGGGAAGCTTACGATGGGTATGGTGGAGCATAGAACAGGCCTGTAATCACAGTATTTGGGAGGCTAAAGCCAAAGAACCATGAGTTCCAGCCTGGACTATCAGATGAGATGCTAATTTGGCTTTCACTCCCATGAGTCAAGCAAGAGCAAAAGGGAGTGGCATCAGTTTTAACCTTATACGGCATTAAGAGGGAGAAGTACGGTGTGATAATTCACATCAGCCCATGATCAATGTTGTATGGGTTATACTTAAACTCAGCTCTGCACTTAGCCAAACACACACAAATGAATTAACCTCTGTAATCTTGGTCTTCTGGTTAAAATCTACAAGGCAAAAATTCTAATGGTTGGAGCTGGAAATAAGGTTCAACAGTTAAATGCACTAGCTGCTCTTCCAGAGGGCTCGGGTTCGGTTCACACTATGCACATGGCAGCTCACAGCTTTCTCTAACTCCAATCCCAGGAGCTCCAATGACCTCTCCTGGCTTCTATGGGATTGAGGCACAGAGGAATAGTGCACAGGCACACATGCAGGAAAAACACCCACGTTTTCCCCAGTTGCTGGTTGTATTAACAAAACACCAGAAGTCATGTAGCAGTATAAAGCTGGCCGGTTAGGTTCACAAAGCCCAAAAAGTGAACAGAGAGCTAACAGGAACCAGGTATGCTAATTCTGAGAAAACAATTTCAAAACCTAAAGTGTATCACCAATCCTTAATAGGACAAGCTATAAAAATTAAAAGCACATTATATGCAAGCAAAGTACCATCATGTCCACAGATGCAACAAACTAGATCCGAGTGAAGGAAGGCACTATCATGTAAACATCTAGCCTTTTAGCTAGGAACCAATATGACAAATTTCTACAACCAACAGTTTACTCCACACCCAAATAAACTTTTCATTCCATAAAGATCAAACAGGAAATTAAATAGTCTCCTGAACAATCAGTATCTAATCACAAATATACAATGTGCCAAGGTTTTGATAACACAGCCACACAATCTCTTGAAATTTAAAGAAAAAATTTATTGAAGATCTGAAAAACAACTCCTACAAGATTGACTTTTCCATAAAACTGTAGCTACACGATGCATTGCGTCTATAATGTTAAAACGTGCATTAGACACAAAGTGAATTAGACAAAAAAAAAAAAGCCATGAAACAAGCCACCATTCTTTAACAATTAAGCAAAGATAAAATACCTAAGAACAACATGGATGACTTGCAAAGGATGGGCTCTTTAAGCACCATTAAAAAAAAAAAAAGAACACAGATAGATGGGTGTTCAGTTATATACACTGAAGGGAACCTTTTGCACTAGGAATCAGAGCATTTTGTTATAGAGCATTAACACATATTATAAAAGTGTGTAGTGTCAAAGGAACAGAACCACCAGCATTCAAAAGCAGCTTTGTCAACTAGGCAATAAAACACTCTACAGCATGTCTCTCTGTTGTCCATCACTGAATACACTGGTAGAAACTTTGAAATGAAAAGAAAGAAGAAAAGGAGCACTGACTCCTTTTATTTTCTCTGTTTAAATCAAACAGAAAACAAACATCAATTGTTATACACTAATGGTCTTCAAAGTACAGCATTTGTACAAGAGAAGGACTAAGAATCAAACTGTTTACAGAGATCCAAGCACGAGTGAGAGAGAGAGAGAGAGAGAGAGCGTGAGCACGCCCCTCACACGGCTTTCCGATGGTACTCAGGAGGAGCCACTTCATAATCACTGGCACTGAACAAAGTTGCAGAATTCTTCGCCAGGTACCTAAAAGAAAAAATATTAACTCATTGTAAAAATGTTAAGTTACGCTAACTATATAGTCATGCATAAATCACTGCATTCTCAAAAAACATTACAATCCAAACCAAGGAACAACCTGCAGGAATTTGCAAACAGCTATCCTATTATACTGCAGCACTACCCTAAAACAGTAATACCAATTTTCTCTAACCCTTTCAAAACTGTTCAATTCCATCAAAGGAAGTCTATGAACACATTTCAAGTTCAAACCTGAAATAAAGGGATGTGAAATAGTGCATTTCTGTATCATCAAAGAAAAATTGGAGTCTGGAGAAAATATTTACAACAGTTAGCAAAAGGGCTACAGATAACTCCAGATCCTTCCTCCTAATACCAAGCCCAAAAAGTAATCCACAGCAACCATTGTCCATATTCTGAAAAGTACAGTCTTTTCAAATTGAAATGTTTCTCTCCAAAAAATCAGAACGCACCAGCTACTACACCTGATTTCTTCTTCATTCAGTGTTAAATAGTATCCTTGTTAGTGTATTTAGAGCAACCTATCATTTTCAAAACCTGCTTGGTTTTAAGTTCTTCTCTATTATAAATAAACGCTCCCCAACATGTTATAAGCTAGAACTGCCTCTTTCCATTTCTTCGATCTTTTAAACTCAACAAATCTTCTTTTTTGTTTTTGTTTTTTTTTTGGTTTCTCAAGACTGGGTTTCTCTGTGTAGCTTTTGGAGACTATCCTGGCACTCGCTATGGAGACCAGGCTGGCCTCGAACTCACAGAGATCCTCCTGTCTCTGCCTCCGAGTGCTGGGATTAAAGGCATGCGCCACCAACACCCGGCTAAACTCAAGATGTTTATTGTTAACTTATATTTGTATTATAACATTGGGCATTATTTTTCAGACAGGTCTCAGCATATAGCTCGGTCTGGCAACAAACTTTAAAAAATGCTTCTACCTCAATTTGACAAGTGTGAGACATCATTGCCATTTCTAAACCCTGTATTTTTTGGTTTTGGTTTTTTGAGACAGGGTTTATCTGTGGCTTTGGAAGCTGTCCTGGAACAGCTCTTGTAGACCAGGCTGGCCTCGAACTCACAGAGATCTGCCTGCCTCTGCCTCCTGAGTGCTGGAATTAAAGGCGAGCGCCACCACCACCAGGCGCCCTTTCTTTATTTACCCCCTTAACAGTTTATCTTTCTACTCTCTAATACAGGTGACTGCAAATCTTCAAAATTAACCTACAGTGTTTTCACTGCTTAATAGCTTAGAGATTTAATCACTCCATCATTTCCCATACAAAACCTACATGGTCACTCTCATCTGTGAGATTCCAATATATATTATTTATATTGCTCTAGTGCTTTATTGACATCTGTATAAATGTACTGCCTATTTTAGTAATTATCATGTCAATCTCTCCTTTCAAACATGAATTTTAAGTAACCACCCCAATTGTTTGTGATTTCAATTAAACTTACTTGAGGAAATCATGTAGATAGTTCAGTAATAAAGCAAGGCTTTTCTCATCTAGAGGTGTATAGGCCAACATCGCTCCAATTCGCACTATTTAACAAAATAATCCAGTTACAGTTATATCCAAGGCAGCACTATAACCATACACATTAACTATTTTAGAAGTAAATGAGCTGTCACAGATTCCATAGAACTAAATGATTCTATGTGTATGAACAGACGCGTGCATACGTGCATGCGTGTGTGTACCTTGTAAGCTAAGGATAACTTTGAAAGTCTTTCCTCACGTACCATTCACTGGACTGGAGAAGCCAGTGAGAACCCAAGATGCCCACACGTCTACCTCCCCAGCACTGGATCGTAAGTATCTACCATTACACCCAGCTTTATGTGGGTTTTGGGGCGGAGGGATTCCTCACACTTGAATTTTATGGATTGAGCTATTGCCCCAGTCTTGGTGATTATTTTTCAAAATTCTTTCTCAAAAAGAGATTTTGCTGTTTAAATCTTTTAAATAAGATCTTAAAGAAAACTCCAATGAAAACAATCATGTTTTGGAAAGTTATTTTACCTCCCAGTCACTTAGCAAAGACCAAAAAAGCAAGCAAACAAAAAAACCAATTATTGCAGGGTCAAGAAGAAGGGGGGAAGATAAAGTCTTATTACCAAATAATCTCAGTAAATGTGGTGCTCCATACACCTGGGACATGGGTGCATCAGGGTGATCTGCAAGAATCTCAGCATACTGTGGTCTCTCAAATTTGTAGAGTAGCTGAGTGCCCAGCATTACATTGAAGTACTCCTTTATCCCTGCCACAACCTCATTAACAGCATACTCCCTGATAAAAGAACAACAACATTACTTTCAAAATATTTCCTTTCTGGAAGGATGTAAAGGCTAAAGATCTATGGCTAAGACAGTTTTAACAAGTAAAATCAATTTCAAATTTATATAATAAAGGACTTAGAAAACTACAGCTTTCAAAATAGCGAAACTTTTAATGGTCATGTAAGAACCTAGTATAGCCGCAATTATACCTAAAACAGTACTTAAATACTTTGCATGTACTCAAAAGGGTGCATTCTTACTTATTATCTGTATTTCCTCGAGATTTCTTATAGTTTGCATAATCCTCCAAAATGGAATCCACATTCTTCTTGGCAGGAAGATAAAAAAGCTAGGGGTAAAAATGTGAACATGAATAATGTTTACAAAGAAAAGTCCAAGAAATGTGCAAGATCAAATACCACACAGGGAGATATAATTGCATAATCCAACTAATAACTTCAAATTCCAACTATGTCTATGAATCTCAAATCTCATGAACCCTTAAGCAACAACTATTATTCTCATCCCCTTCACTCCCACTAAAGTTCTCATTTGTCAATTTAAATAGTTTGGAGTTTCTAAATCTGGATTTAGGTAATCCAACTCTTTTTGACATTCAAGTTTTTCTGGATTCATATATTCCTGTGTCATGAAAGCATTTAAAGAGTTTGAACTTTCAGTGGGGAGGAAAGAGGCTCCTAAAACTAAACAAGTAAACAAGGCTCAGAAAGCTGACACTTGAAAGATCCTCAGGGATCCTTCCAGGCAGCTAAGATGGAGCTCCAGGGACACAACTTTCATGGTTCAATTAGGGGTGGGTTTTTCAGTGGTATCCCTACTTTTGAATTGCTCACATTTCTGTAAGCAACCCATTATTCATGCTCTATAAACCCCAAAGCCTCACTGGCTTACCAAGCTGGCTTGCTGTTGACATCCATTCTATCTTAACATGGGAGAAAAATTATTTAACATCCCACAAATGAGTGGCTAAATCCTAGACCTTATTTACATTGAGGATCAATTGCAGGTATGTTATATGCTTTCTACTATATTCCATTATCAAGACATGTATGAATGCTCTATTGACAACAACATTTAGGATGGAAAATGCATGTTTCTCTGCCTATTAATTTTTTTTAAAGAATCCTGCTCCAGCAACCTCCAACTTTTTTTGTTGCTGTTTTTCAAGACAGGGTTTCTCTGTATAGCTTTGGTGCCTGTCCTGGAACTCTTGTAGACCACACTGGTCTCAAACTGACAGAACTCCGCTTGCCTTATGCTGGGACTAAGGGCCTGCACCACCTGCACCCAGCTTCCTCCAACTTTCTTAATTACCATAAACTAATAAAATTTTAAGGGACTGGAGAGATGGCTCAGCAATTAAGAGCATTACAGGATGTAAGGTTCAATTCCCAGCAACCACATATGGCAGCTCACCATCTGGAACTCCAGTTCCAGGAGATCCAATGCCCTATATTCTGGCTTCCAGAGGCACTGCACACAGGCCGTGCCATACAGACACACAGGCAAAAACAAAACAAAAACACCCACAAAATTTTAAAAGATGTATTAAAATACTCCAGTCATAAAACTTCAGGCCTTTTTATCTTTTTGTCAAATATAACCATATAACTAAACCTGTGTAGTTTTCAAGTTACCTGTTTTTGTCTGGTGATCAAGTCCCAGTCATCCACAAGCCATGGTTTCAGCTCTTCCGGGATCTTTACTTTAACTTCAACTCTGTTCATGAATGTTTCTTCCTAAATATAAAAAGGGAAGGTATTACAAACCTTTTCTTGCTTAATAATAACTTCTCTTTTGATCTTCAGACACTAGCTATATACTAATTCCTTGACGTAGTCACTCATAAAGGAGGAACTGCCATTGAAAAAAACAATACATGAAATCATGCAGCCAGGAGAAAAGAATATGGTCTTGAGTTATAGTGGCCCTTAACTACATTTTCTCTTCTGAAAAATGGTAGTATTCTGAACTGATGCAACTTAAAAGCATCTTCACATTTACTGATGATACTCAAATGATTATCTCAAACATGGCTTTCTTCCCTTCCCATCTCCATACTTGGTTTTACCATGCAGCTCTGGTTGTCCTATAACTCATGACATAAACCAGAGGCCTGAGGGCTGGGATTAAAGGTATGCACCACCATGCACAACTATCTTTAAAGACAAATTTTTTTCTCTGAATTACTACTAGACCAGGATCTGCCTATGCACTCTGGTAGCGTATGTCAGTAACCCAAGCATTTCCAAATCTGAAGCATGAGGCTATCCTGTCTCAAACACTAACAGCTGGAGGGAAGGGAGTAGGGAAGTAAAGAAAAAGGATCATTAGTGTTTTTAGACCAGCTTGGGGGAGGGGAGGGCACACACAGAAAACTCACATTTTCAACAGTTGGATCTACCCGGGCTCTTTTCTTCCTAGGAGGCTGAGGTGTCTCACTGGTACTGCCACCATCTCCATTTCCGGGTGCTACAAAACGTATGGGAGGTGGGGTGGGGTACTGGTTAAGTAAAATTCTTCACGGTATAGAGTGTCTTGATTTAAGGTCTTATTTTCTTCATTACAGACATTTCATAAATCTAACTTAAAAGCATCATATTTTTACCAAAACAAAACCTTATTGATCACTTAAAACACTTAGGAAGTATTTAGTAACAGCATATATTTAAAAAGCTATTTTACTAGGAGAATCATTAAGGCTAAAGCAGTAGGTGGAAACAATCTTACAGGAGGTCAATAAACCACATATTACATGTCAGTTTAAAGTAGTGAATTCACAATCCAAATGTTATAAAGAATAGATCAGTTTTAATCTTACTTTTCTGCTTGGTCTTTTTTGTTTTCCTGAAAAGAGAAGAAAACAAAAGTTACTCCTAGAAACTGTTTCAACTCTTATGAGAAGTAAATTCAGAAAAAATAGCCCATTTTCAATGACTATAAATTTGCCTCCCAAAATACTTATTTTGATTTTAGATTTATAACCCTGTCCTACTTGTTCCTTTTATAACCAAACTCCAATGCCAGCAGGATGTAATCCTAAAGGCCTTCGGAGGAATGAGATCTGGCAAATGGATGTTTTTCACTTTACAGAATTTGGAAATTTGAAATATGTGCATCATACCATTGACACATTCTCAGGTTTCCAATGGGCTACTGCTCTCAACTCTAAAAAGGCTGATTCCGTTATTACACACCTACTGGAGGTGATGGCAGTTATGGGCATACCGGCGCAGATAAAAACTGACAATGCTCCAGCATATGTCTCCACAAAAATGGAACAGTTTTTCAAATATTATAACATTAAGCATGTCACAGGTATACCACACAACCCTACAGGACAA